TCTCATAAAGCTTTTCCTTGATTTGAGTCTACTGGGAGGAGGCTGCTAGCCATGTAGTGGATGGCTTTCACAGTGTTCAACCTTATTATATTATAATAATAATAATAATAATAATAATAATAATAATAATAATAATAACATCCCATTTCAGAAGTGTGTTTCTGTTCTATGCACAAAATTATTTCAAATGTTGTACAAAATTACCTTTGAATGTGTGTATTTATATGAAACATACATAAATTTCACATTTAGGTTCATGTCCCATCTGCAAGATACCTCATTATATACATATAAATATCAAAAATCCAAAACCCTTCCCATCTCGTGCATTTTGAATAAGAGATGCTCAACCTGCATTCTCTTGAATTTGTAAACCGAATCTGAGCCTAGTGATTCTTTAAGAGACCCAGCACAACCCATCCATCATTAAGTAGCAGCAGCAGTTCTGTTGTAATTGCCACATTCACAGTAAAGCTAGAGGGGTTCGTGGCCAGGCACCAGTGGGTAGTCAGTACCCTCTGTCTGTGTTATGTTTGCACCAGCTGAGCAATGCCAATAACTAGAGTAAGTAGGGGAAATTTACCTAACAACCTCAGCACAGCCAAGGTCACTGCAAAGGTCAGTGCACATCAGGGGGGCAAGCAACACGTGAAGGACTGAATCCACATCTCCAACAGCATATGAGAAAGCAGCAATTTATTTGAGTGAGTGGTGGCTGGTGTCCAGGTTGCGTTATTTCATTACTTCGAAAAAAAACCAAGATCGAAGTGACACATGAAAGTGGTGCAAGATGAATAGACAGTGTTCCTTTTAAAAGAACAACTAATAATTGCACAATACAAAGAGCAGAAAGTAAACATATCTGGGAAATAAAGATGTTTGCCATCACAACAAAACTTGACCAATCCCTTCTTGGCAACTATTACCAAAGTTAATGTTAAATGGGAAGATTGCTTACATATTCTGCAAGGGTGATCAGTTGCATGAAAACCTGCAGAATGCATCTGGCTGCTACAACTGCCAAAGCCTGAAACTGAATAATAATAATAATAATAATAATAATAATAATAATAATAATAATGTATTTTCAAAGGCTTTCATGGCTGGAATCACTGGGTTGTTGTAGGTTTTTCGGGTTGTATGTTCTTGACAGCAGAAGGTGTCACCTCAACATCTTTAAACTTACTCGCCCAATGACGCACAGTTCTCACATCAACACAATCAACACAATCACCATAAACAGCTTGCATTCTCATGAATCTCAAGAATTCAATGACTGCACATTGCTTAAGTCGCATTGACCGACCGTCTGCGCAGGGTACCATACTTTGCATGTTAACAACACAACTGTTCAATGCTAAGGTTTCCTGCTGAAATGGAACTGTAGAGGAGAGTCTACTGAACAAGCCAGTACCTACCGCATACCAGTACTGCCATCTGTTGAGGAGTTATGAAGGTGGAGGCATTACTTTTCATTCAATCCTCGTAGAAATGGTTTATATTACTAGACATGAGACATGAGAGACATGAGACATGGGACATGAGAGAAGCCTCCTCGCAGGATTGCAAGATATCCGGGCGTCCTCTGGGCAACGTCTTCGTAGACGGCTGATTCTCTCGATCCAGAAGCAACCAGAAGTGACTTGCAGCATGCAAACAAGCAAGCATTAGAAGCTTACATTACTAAGCAATGTTTTAACCCTAAAATTCCCTCTTCCCCCCACAAATAAAAATTTAAAACAGTCAAAATTGATATTCTATCCCAAAGACATTTAGGAGGAAAAAAATAATAATCTCGCTATTATGATTATATAAAGTCTCAATTTCAAGCTCTTCATCAGAAGCTTGTGCCCCTCTAAAATGGTCTTCCTCAGATTAGTTCAATTCATGCCAGCGTACCTATGGGGGAATTTAGCTTTAACATCCTAAGACCTACGTATATATTTTCTCCTATATCAATTAAACCCTGGACAAAGTTGCAGCAACATTTAAGAGCATGCAGAGGATTCTTGGTTCGATTGTGAAGATCTCCAAATACAGTTTATAAAGATCGCTGTGCGAAATACGATAGAGCTGTTGTTAGTTGCTGAAGTCAGCATGGAGTTAGCGAGACCAGTTTCCTGACTCGCTGTAACACAGATCGCTATATTTTAATGTTCACTTTGTTCATAGGAAAGAATGTAATCAAGTGTGTGATTGGATGAGGATTTTTCTGCTTTTCTGCCTTTACTAGAATAACAGAATCAGTGTGTCCTGTACAGCGCATCTAGAAACAAACAACATAGAGAACGGATACTCAAAAATTAAGAATTTTCAACTGAATATGACCTCAAGCTGGTATCCCAGTCTTGAATATATATTCTTGAACACAAATCCCATTAATTTCTATTGAATACAACCATCTACTTATGAAGACCAATCTTGGAATAGCACTTTTGAAAACAGATGCATTTAGGATTCAAATTTGCATCTTACATTTGGTTGAAAAGAGGTGCAAGAATCAATTCAGTTTCTGAGTCCAAGTAGCCAAAGCCTCTGCTGTTAGCCCTCCTTAATTAGAAAATATCAGTAGTTAAGCTAGAAGAAGAAGAAGAAGAAGAAGAAGAAGAAGAAGAAGAACAAGAACAAGAACAAGAAGAAGTATATTTTTCTGTCCCCCCTCCATCTCCCTGAGGGGACTCGGGGCAGCTTACATGGGGCCAAGCCCAAGGCAACGATTAAAAACATATCAATAACATATTAAAACTAGCTGTGCCCTGCCACGCGTTGCTGTGGCCTTTAGTAAGAGTTTTGAAGTCTCTGCCTGGCCTCTCTTCCTTCCTTCCCTCGCTCTCTTTCCCTCTTTCTCTCTCTCACACTCCTTCCTTTCCCCTCTTTCTCTCTCTCTCTCTCTCTGGCATCCCTCCTTCATCCCCCTTCTTTATGCTTGTGTGTAAACTTGAGTATTTTCTGTTGGTCATGGGGGTTCAGTGTGGCATGTTTGCCCCAATTCTGTCGTTGGTGGGGTTCAGGATGCTCTTTGAGTGTTGGTGAACTCTGAATCCCAGTGACTACAACTCCCAAATGTCAAGGTCTATTTCCCTCAAACTCCATCTGTGTTCATATTTGGGCATATTGAATGCTTGTGCCAAGTTTGGTCCAGATCCATCATTGTTTGAGTCCACAGTGCTGTCTGGATGTCGGTGAACTACAACTCCCATACTCAAGGTCAATGCCCTCCAAACCTTTCAAGTATTTTCTGTTGGTCATGGGAGTTCTGTGTGCCAAGTTTGGTTCACTTCCATCATTGGTGGAGTCCAGAATGCTCTTTGATTGTAGGTGATCTATAAATCCCAGGAAGGGAGGGGGCGTGTCTTTCCGGTGGGGGTGAGAGGAGGGAAGGAGTAAGTCACGGAGGGAAGGGGTGGGGCGAAGGAGGGGGCGGGGTTTGGAGAGGAAAGAAGACACGCCCCCTCCCTTCGCCCCACCCCTTCCTTCCGTGACTCACTCCTTCCCTCCTCCCTCCCCCTCCGGTTATACACGCCCCCTCCCTTCGCCCCACCCCTTTCCCTCCAGGAGTGAATCACGGAGGAAAGGGGTGGGGCGAAGGGAGGGGCGTGTCTAACCGGAGAGGGAGGGAGGAAGGAAGGAGTGAGTCACGGAGGGAAGGGGTGGGGCGAAGGGAGGGGGCGTGTCTTTGAAGAAGAAGACACGCCCCCTCCCTTCGCCCCCCCTTCCCCCCTGACTCACTCCTTCCCTCCGCCCTCCCCCTCCGGAAAGACATGCCCCTCCCTTCGCCCCACCCCTTTCCTTCCAGGAGTGAATCACGGAGGGAAGGGGTGGGGCGAAGGGAGGGGGCGTGTCTTTCCGGTGGGGATGCGGCGAGGCTTGGAGTGTCCCTTTCAACTCTATTCTATGGATGTAATGCCGCGCGGGGGGTGTGAAGGGGCGCACGCGCGCGCATGTGTGTGGGGGGGGGGGTGAGGGGCCATGTGTGTCCGCGCCAGGGAGTTTGCGCCAGTGCGCATGCTCAGTTGCTTTGTCGTTTATTGTGGTTGTTGTTGTGTGTTTTTGATTTCTGAGTGGATTAGTTTGTACCTTGTTGGTTGCCCTTGGGGCATGGGAAGTTTGGTAGAGTTTTGTGGAGGTGTTTTAGAGTTTTGCTTCCTCGTTGGACGCCAGTAGGAAATTTATAGATATAGATAACATAAAACAGCATAAACAATAGTAAACAAGCATCAAAAGTAACAACACACTCATTTTTGGTGGGGAGGGAGGGAGCCAATATGTGAAACTAGTTAAAGGATAGGGTGGTCAATGGGGCGGATAGAAACGTATAGTGGCATAGGCATAATAGCATAGGAATAGAGTAATTAAACAGGATCAATTCAGCTTGACTTAAAAATGTAGTAATAAAATATAGGAATTTGGATTCAGGTCATGATTCAAGTCATGATTCAAATCATTTGTCACAGGAGTCATCAATTGAATTCACAACGAAACATCCTCGTCTTTAGTCCCTTACGGAATGTCAATAGGGAGGGTGCTCCCCTAATCTCTCTGGGGAGGGAGTTCCAGAGGCAAGGGACCACCACTGAGAATGCCCTTTCTCTCGTCCCCACCAACAGAGCCTGAGACAGGGGCGGGAGCGAGAGAAGAGCATCCCTGGAAAGTGTTTGTGGGCTAAAGAAAGTAATAGAATTAGGAAGAAACCTGGTAAGACTGAAGGAATTAGGAATGCAGTCACCAAGCAGGATGAGGGGAGAAGGGAGATTTGTTTCCTGATCTTTTTAGCAAGTAACCCATAAATATCAACTTTTTAGTTACCAGTAGCCACTAAAAACCAACATTTCTGAACAGCTGAACATGAAACTAGAATGATCCTGGTGATGGTGAGGACAATGATGCTAAGGACCAGAGCGTACTTACATCCTTCAGAAGCCTGCAAATAGAAATGTATTCCTAGATCAGATTCTCCTGATTTCCTTTCAGATTTTATATTGTACTTAATTTTTCTACAGGTATCAACTGTGAGCTGGAAATTGATGAGTGTTTGTCACAGCCTTGCCTGCATGGTGGAACCTGTCATGACAGTCTAGGGGGCTATTACTGTTCCTGTCCGGTTGGCTTTCTTGGTGAACTCTGTGCCGTCAACACTGATGAATGTGCAAGTCAACCATGCCTCAATGGGGGGCAGTGTATAGATGATATCAACGGGTATGTACTCCCAGTGTGGGAAAAGAGTTGACAACAGGTGACAAGCACATGTTACATTTAGCCTAATGAGGAGGAATCATCTCTGGGTCAAGCTGGCTGAAAATGTGGATGTCTTGCTTTTGTTTACAAACTGGATATTTGGCCACTAATTGATGCTGGAATTGGTGCTGAAGCCATGAGATCTGTGTGGTCAAAGTCTTAAGTGGAGAATTGAAGCAAATTTAAATGGACTAGATTCTACCAAGAGTCATGTAGACTTCCAATTACCCCAAGACTGTGAGCACAAAGAATTCTATAGTGACTGGTTTCCTTGTTTTGTTTTGTTTTGTTTTTTTTAAAAAAAAACAAACCAAAATCAAGTTGCTATTAAGTTAGCAGGGCCCCCCTAAACTTTTTAAGCCAAGGACCAGTTCACGGTCCTTCAGCCTCTTGGGGGGCCAGGCTATGCACACTGCATATGTCTTAATTATAGTACCAAAAAAATGAAAGAACAACACAATATATAAAATGAAGAAAAATGTAAAGCACCATAAACATACCAACCAGGCCCGTAGCCAGGATTTTGAGGGGGGGGGGCTGAGTTTGATTCAGAGGGGGGGGGGCTGAGTCTGAGTGAAAGAGGGTCTACCCTAGTAAACCTTTTGTATCGTTACCCCAATACCCCCATGTATATGGGATACATTGAGCATGGTGATCAGATCATGATATGAATAAACATAACAGTTTAAATAATATACCAGTAAGGCCTTTTCGCAGACCACCATGAGAATTTCAGGGGGGCTGAAGCCCCCAAAGCCCCCCCCCCCCCCCCCCCCCCGCTACATGCCTGAATCAGGTTGATAATGGAGCCCCCGGTGGCGCAGTGGGTTAAAGCACTGAGCTGCTGAGCTTGTTGATCGAAAGGTCACAGATTTGATTCCGGGGAGCGGCATGAGCTTCCGCTGTCAGCCCTAGCTTCTGCCAACCTAGCAGTTTGAAAACATGCAAATGTGAGTAGATCAATAGGTACCGCTCCAGCGGGAAGGTAACAGCGCTCCATGCAGTCATGCCGGCCACATGACCTTGGAGGTGTCTACAGACAACGTTGGCTCTTTGGCTTAGAAATGGAGATGAACACCACACCCCAGCGTCAGACATGACTGGATTTAATGTCAGGGGACTACCTTTACCTTTACCTTGGGATTGTTGTTGTTGTAGTATCCCTTCATGTAATTTCAGACAGTGGTATATGCTGCCTAAGACTTTTGTGGAGTCTTCTTCTCTGGAGTTTTTTCAGCAGCAGTGGCATGGCCACCTGTAGGAGTGCTTTGACGGTGGTGGTGGTGGTGGTGGTGGGGGGGGGGGTTATAGTTGCCACCTGGCTCTCCCCTTTTCTTTCCTATGGCATAGTCACAGTGAACAGCAGCTTTTTTGGAAAACATGGGGTGGTGACCTATCTCAAGGCCAGAGCCACCCGAGGAGAAGGTGACGCTCAATAATAATAATAATAATAATAATAATAATAATAATAATAATAATAATATTTTTGTCGTGTCAGGAGCGACCTGAGAAACTGCAAGTCGCTCCTGTTGTGAGAGAATTGGCTGACTGCAAGGACGTTGGCCAGGGGACGCCCGGATGATTTGATGTTTTTATCATCCTTGTGGGAAGCTTCTCTCATGTCCCTGCATGAGGAGCTGGAGCTGATAGAGGGAGCTCATCCGCCTCTCCTCGGATTCGAACCTGTGAAGTGTCAGTCTTCAGTCCTGCCGGCACAGGGGTTTAACCCACTGCACCACCGGGGGCTACATAATAATAATAATAATAATAATAAACCTTTATTTATACCCCGCTACCATCTCCCACAGGACTCGGTGCAGCTTACAAGAGGCCGAGCCCAAATACATCAGAGACAAAAAACACAACAACAATACAACAATAAATAACTCATAGCAAAGCAAAACAATAACAAAAATCACGATGCATTTAAAAACCTGTGGCAGGGCCAAATGTAATGGTTATTTTTGAAAAAAAAAATGCTGGGCATGTCCAGGTGAAATAGGATGGATATTTTAGGGATAAGTGGGTGTGCAGACAATTCTAACTCTCTCGTAAAGTGCATTTGGGACAAATTGCTTGGGATTCCTTAATCTTGGAAGGCACACTGGAACGTCCATGTTTTCAAGCTCCTTCTAAAGACTGCCAATGTTGGGGCATGCCTGATGTCCTTGGGCATGGAGTTTCAGAGTTGTGGGGCCACCACCGAGAAGGCCCTGTCCGTCGTTCCCACCAATCGTGCTTGCGATGCAGGTGGGATTGTGAGCAGGGCCTCTCCAGATGAACGAAGAGATCATGTGGGTTCGTATACGGATATGCGGTCACACAGGTAGATGGGTCCCAAACCGAAGGGGTGAAGGGTCTCTCCTCCCAAGAAGCCCACCTTTTCTGGGGCCCTGATCCCTAAGAAGGAATAAAAAGGACAGGTGGAAATTTGAACAAGGGCCACAATTGGCCCCCGAGCCAGACTTTGGACACACCTGAGCTAGAGTGATTATGTTCAGTAAGGAATAGTGCTCTTTAAGGGTTGTGCAGAAAAGGAAATTTCAGAAGGTCCTGCTTATGTTCCTTATTTTACTTACCTACCATGGCATCCCCATGCTAGACAGAGAATCCTAACTATATGATCTGATTGTCATTAACAAGTGAATGTCTTTGTGCTAGGTGGCATTTAAACCAGTGATTCCCAACCTTTGGTACAACCTTTGTTTTGGACTTCATCTCCCACAATTCCTAACACCTGGTAAGCTGGCTGGGATTTCTTGTAGTTGAAGTCCAAAATATCTGGAGGACCAAAGGTTGGGAACCACTGATTTAAGCAATGTGAGATCCCTGCTTGTACTATGAAGTGGTCAAGTTCAAAGTCCCAGGTTTACCACTTCAGTAAGTAGATCCAGATTTTATATAGAGAGTTGTTATTTAAGACTTTCAAACTAGAATGAGTGCATTCTGTAGCAAAATGTTGGAGGGGACTAGTATTGATCAGGATCGAACACTACTATTATAGCCTGTCTCAATTTTCCCCATCAGCATCCTATTAGGGCCTCATCACATGGGGCAATTGAAGCCTCCTAAGATGCTTCTGCGCGTTTGCCCAGGGAACCCTATGCTGCTCATTGTGCTGGTACAGCTGTACCAGAAGCTCCCACTTTATTTGCCTTGTATTAAGTGTTTGCTTGCAGTCCAAGGCTTGGGATTCCGCAGCAGGGTGGCTTCCTGTTAAAGTTTGCAGTCATAGGGCAGGCCACCTGTTCATCATCATTAGGTTCTCTAATCCCGCCCCCTTTTTGGGTTTAGAGAAGGGAAGGGAGCCATTTTTTAGTTAGTCTCTGCAAGAATAGCTAATGTACAGAATGTGTACAGACTTTCTCCTGTACAAAGGCTTCAACCCTTAAGACTTCCAGGGGGAGAACAGTCTTAAGAGCATCTAAAGATTCCCAAAGGTTCCAGGGAAACAGCCTTTCCGCCCTGGGGAATTTCGGAGGGAATAACAGCGTTAAACATCAAGAACTCCAGCTAAGTGGCTACAGGCCTACTGGTAGGTCCATTCGGTTTTGAGATGCAGTTCAGCCCGGTAGTGGATCCACACCAGTTAGGTTTAGGTTCACAGTTAGCCTGGGAGAAGTTTGGAAAGGGATTTTCCTGTAAAGTAAAGCAAAGAAACAGTTAGAAGCCACCAGTTGCTTGAAGCTTGGAAGCATTTGTTTAACCTTTGAAGACAAAAGAAGTTTCTATTTGATTGGGTCACACTGTCTACATAAAACCCCCACACACAGATAGATATCTACATAAAAACTCCAACCATCACCCAAGTCAAAAAAGAAGCACCATTAAAGCCTTGGCAGACCGTGCAAAAAGAATCTGCGAACCCCACCTCCTCCAAGATGAACTGAACCACCTAAACTGGGCTCTCCAGGCCAATGGATACTCCACCTCAGACATGAGAAGAGCTGCAAGACCAAGAACAAGCCATGAGAGTAAAGATGAAGATCCACCCCAAGGAAAAGTGTTCCTGCCATACATCAAGGGAACCACTGACCGCATAGGGAAGCTGATGAGGAAACACAACATACAAACAATCTACAAACCCACCGAGAAAATCCAACAAATGCTACGTTCAGCAAAGGACAAGAGGGATCCTCTCACCTCTGCAGGAGTCTACTGTATACCATGCAGCTGTGGACAAGTCTACATAGGGACCACCAAACGCAGCTTTGCCCAAACAGGAATCAAGGAACATGAAAGGCACTGCAGGCTACTTCAACCAGAGAAGTCAGCCATAGCAGAGCACCTGATGAACCAGCCTGGACACAGCATATTATTTGAGAACACAGAAATGCTGGACCACACCAACAACCACCATGTCAGACTACACAGAGAAGCCATTGAAATCCACAAGCATGTGGACAGTTTCAACAGAAAGGAAGAGACCATGAAAATGAACAAAATCTGGCTACCAGTATTAAAAAACTCTAAAATTACAACAGCAAAACAGCAGAGAGGAAACAACCAGGCACATCTTAACACCTCTCAACAAAAGATTTTCCCAGGCTCAGGCAGGCCTTCAAATGGTAATGAAGGTGGTCAGTTGAAACATTCACACCTAGCTCCAGCAGAGAAAAGCTCTTTGCCCCACCCCAGCTATTCCACAGATATATAAACCCATTGTCCTATTTCCAACAAACCTCACTACCTCTGAGGATGCTTGCCATAGATGCAGGCGAAACGTCAGGAGAAATGCCTCTAGAACATGGCCTTATAGCCCGAAAAAACTACAAGAACCTAGTGATTCCAGCCATGAAAGCCTTCGACAATACATTTCTATTTGATTGTTCATCAATAAAGACTTTGTTGTATTTAAGCTCAAGCCCTCTAAAGACTGTTTATGGGGGGGGAACCTCTAAAAGCTTCTTTTTGGGCCCCCTGGCTTCCCATTGGGCTCAAGTTACACATCCTGTTTTAAA